AATAATAATAATAATAATAATAATAATAATAATAAATTAAAAATATCATTTATATTTCCTTTATAATTTTAGCCTATTACAATTTGATCTTCATCGTGAGTTCTTTCATTAAGGTCATGTTCATTATTTTGAAAATTTTAGTTGTTTTCGCGCAATATTGCATGCCATTTGTGAAATTTTAATAACTTAAAAAACCAGATTTTTTAAAAAACAGCTCAACATTTTTTTCTTTAAACTTTCGGTAGGAATAGTGCTAAATGTACTCTTACAAGATGACATAACGCCGTATTTTTTTTATTTCTTCAAAAATTACACTAATGTAATTTTTTTGACTTGACAATCAGTCTTTAATATTTAAATTAGCGAAAATTTGTTCACATTATTGCATTTATGAGTATATGTACTTTACAAATATCATATCATAATTTTTGAAAACTAAATCGTTTTCTGTTAACATGAGCCAAAATTCCACATTTTCAGAAACACTCAAACGCTATTTTCCCAAAAATGGTTCCAAATATTTTCTTCAGTATTTTTTAACAGTTAGGGCTATTTACATTTTTATTGCACTATTTAAAATGACAAAGTTTAATTTGCTATATTCTTTTGTTTTTTCAAAAATTACGCAAATGTACATTTTTTGAAAGATCTCTCACGCTGTTGATATGCACATTTTCAGCAATGTGTAAACACTATTGTGTATGTGAGTTAAAGTACTTAAAATTACTTTATTTAAAGATTTTCGAAAAATCAAAAATTTTCTGTGAAAAACATCTTCAAATTTTGAATTCACAGTAGCACATAAACGCCAGGTTTTAAAAACGGGCGCAAAATTTTCCATGCAAAATTGCCATTAAGGATGAGGGTTTACTGTTCTGTAATATTCTTAAAATAATATTTACGTTTTACTATTAGGAATCTGAAAAATTAAGAAAATGTCAAAAAAAAGTACTTTGGGTGGCAACAGATGGTAGCAGACAGATGGCAGTTCAGGCAAGTTCGAATAGCTAGTCAAGACCATAAGAAATAGAGAACTAATACGGGAAAATCTGTGTCATTCTGTAGCACCACTAGTTTTTTTGTTGACTTAACATCCATAATTTTAATTGAAAATAAATATATGAAAAATAAGAAAATAATTCATAATGCATAAAAAACCTTTTAAAAAATATTTCCTCAGTGTCAAATTCAATCTAAAAATATTAAAATTTTACTTTGACTTCGAACACACAAGAGGCACAAAAATCTCTCAGACTTGACAGATCAGACAACAGTATTACTCTTAGACATAAGTAAAAACTCAACCTGAAATGAGAGCAATGTCAACCTGAAATACTCATCTAAAATTAATACAAAACGGCTTATAAATAAACTAAAAAATGTAAACTGGAATTGTGTCTATACAGAGAATAATATAAATGAAGCAGTATTAAATTTTATTACAACTATTCAGACTGCCATACATATTTCTAAAAACACTTACAAACATAACACTAAAAATAAACCCAGGAAACCTTGGATCGCCACTGCGCTAATAAAATCTTGTAAAATAAAAAATCACCTATATAAACAAACGAAATCACATCCAAACAATATTGACATTAAAAATAAGTTCCTGAAATATAAGAATACGTTAAAAGTTTTGATTAAAACCGCTGAAGTCATATTATAATGATATTTTGATAGAAATTTCTGGAAATACGGAACATTTATGGAAATTTATAACTGAAAAAATGGATAAAAATAAATCACATGTAAATACAATAAAAGGATTTATGATGAAATTAATAATATAGATATTGTAAATGAAAAAGACATAGCAAATAAATTTAATAAATATTTTATAGAAATAGGCTCAGACATACCAAAAAAATTCAAACAATCATCTAACGAAACTATCAGGATCTGGTCAACTACCTTCAGATTCTATTTTTATTACCCCAACCACAGAATAAGAGGTATCAAAAATTATAAATGGTATGAGTAAAAAGAAATCAGCGGGTGTTGAGCAGATTTCAATAACAGTAATTAAACGTATTCAATCTATCATCCTTAAACCATTAACTTATATAATCAATGAAAGTATATAAACAGGTACATTTCCAGATCATTTCAAAAAAGCCGAAATAATCCCGATTCATAAATCCGGTGAGAAGGATAGGACAACAAATTACCGACCAATTTCCTTGATTTCTAATTTTGCAAAAATTTATGAGAAAATGTTAAAAATTCGATTAGATAATTTTATAACAAAACAGAGTATTATAAATCCATTCCAGTTTGGCTTCCAGAAGGGATAAAATATCAAAGATGCAATAAAATACTTAACAAATGAGATCAATAATACAATAGATAAAACCATACCTTGCGTTACTGTTTTCCTCAATTTAGCCTAAGCATTCGATACGGTAAATCACAGTTTACTACTGAGGAAACTATACAAATATGATTTCCGAGGTATTTCGTACGATTTGCTCAAAAGCTACATTACCGATCGAAAACGGGTGGTCAAACTAAAAAATGTTATCAGCGATGACAGAATGGTTACTTGTGGTGTTCCACAGGGGACAATATTGGGACCACCATTGTTCATTAACAATAGTGGTCCCAATATATATATATATATATA